GTCACACAATTTACGACACGAGACAGATCCATGTGTTCTTACAATATTGTTTAATCAGAGAAAAATGGAGGTATATTGATGCTAGAGTTAGTGAAAATGACGGTATGCAAACGGAAAAATGATACAGTTGCCAAGAGAAGCAACTGTTAAAAGACTTTTTTTTCTTGGAGCCGGGAAGTAGAACACATAATAAATGAGATTCTACGGCGATGACACTATTGCTTAGCTGTTATACTATTCCTACAGTGCAAGCGATCAAGTATCAGGAATATTTCAGCAAGACCAAGAACATGCTCAGCTTTAACCACATTGCCTCAGTTGATCAGTAAAGCGCGCCAATTGTCTTACTATTTTTCTGTGTTACAAGCATTAAGATGTAAGATTTACAAAAATAGCTTGCAACAATGCAATTAATTCGTGCAAGTCGAAGTTTTACACCAGCTGAAACTTTATTTTTGCAGAACCTGTTTATAAGCCTAGACTATTGTTCTTTAAAAAAAACCCTGCAAAAATTTACCTGGAGCATTTCATGCACAAAGCTATCGAGAACGGCATGATCCGAAGACAGCTCAACTTTTGGCGTTTCTTGTTCGCCTTTTGCCTCCCGTTGCTCTTCCGCCTTCACTATCGCCTCCTCTTCCTTTGTTGGTGCCTCGGACATCTGTGATGGTGATTGAACAATGGCAATTTCAGACGATTCCGATGGTGGTTCAGTATCATCGGTGTCTTTCAAGGACTCCTTTCGAGACATATATGGGCTACGGTAGAATTTTGGAAATATTCTGAAAGGAGGCAATACAATGATGGGAACGTTTTGGACCGATTAGAGGAATAACATACTTTGGTGATAAACGATTAATGACCGGTGACGGTACTTCACTCTCTCGATGAAATCTCTCCTTCCACATGCGTGCATCAGCAGAGGTTATGTAGGTGACACTGGAAGTGAAACAGTAGATAAAAGGATGAACGGTTGAGTTTACGTTCAAATACATTTTTAGAGTTGGTATCAGTTTGGAAAATATGCGGAAAGACATCACCTGCAATGGTACCCTTCAAAAACTGGCAACCTTAAAATGTGGATATTTTCCCTATTTCCATGATATAATAGGTCTCACAGTAAATTATTTAATAAAAGATAAGTCTCTGGAGTTGATATATAGTAGAAATCTGGATCACCATTTGAAACAATATGTTAAACTCTTGGTATCACTACCGGAAAACATTCAGAGCCCCAAACTCGCAAAATGTTTTTTTTTTATTCTAAAGGACTAATTGTATTGATTATAGGTGATAGAGCTGTAGTCGAAACATTTGAAAA